CGGGTCCACTGGTGGAACTTCTTCTAACCGGTTCGGTAGATTTGACGAACCGGTTCTACCGAATAGGTGCGAACTGGTAGGAACCCACCTCTGGTTGTGACTATACTATGGACACTACCGCATATTCTATACTGCACTATTTTCAGGACTTGCATTCAAGTAAGAACGATTTAAGTTACTTCTTGGATGTCAGCCTTACATTGTTTAAAACAACTTGGCCAATTTCAGACCACCTCCACTGCCTGGGATTCTGCATCTTTGCTAAAATGGGCCTGGACAGGAACATTTTGAACAGAATCCGTTTTCAGACAAATATGGAATAAAGGATATTGGGAGGCTTTAGCAGCCAATTCCTTATTTGTCTTGAGTTTTTCTATTTGTCTTTTTGCTGTTCAGAAGTGATTTTGTAAGTTAATATTATGTGGAGAAAAAAACAACCCAAGGATCTCTGGAAAAAACCAGAGTTTTGCCTTCCTGATCCCCTCCTGGGTACTAGATAATATGATAGAGTCTATTTCCTCAGCAGAGTTAGCAACTGCTCTCTCTCATCCTGTGGCCCTTGGCAAGTTCCCATCATCGGGAGGGTAAATCAGACATTTAGATCATGAAGCGGACAGTCTGCGCAGCTCCGGTGGGTTCTGGTTGTTTGTTTGAAGGACTTTGAAGGGTCTGCCTCAATTCAGCCCATGAAAATGCCAAAATGCTCAGCCGAATTCAGGCTTACAAAATCAACATCCAGAATTCCATGTTCTTAGACAATGTAATAATTTTCTCAGTCATAGTAGGAGAAAAGGAGGTGTGTATGGCACAGAGTTCCTTGTTTCCAGATGTTTTGTTCAGGCTCCCTTTGGGTTTTGGGGGGATGTCATCATCCATTGTTTAGTTTGCAAGTATTTCTTTGCTGCATTAATTCAAATGGTCCTGGAACAGACTTCAACATGCAATTCTTAAATGGGTTTCTGTTGGATCCATGGCAGGATTCCCAGATTTGCAGGCATATTTATAGCATGCAGAAACTACAGCCAATGATGCCTTTCTAACAAATGCTGCCTTCTAGGGAAGTGGGCATTATTTCATTTCCACATTTCAGTTTTAGGCCTCTTCCTAAACCCAGGATCCGCAACATACAGTTGCAGGCACCTGGTTTCTTATTTATGACTTAGAGCTCCCTGGCCATGTTGGTTAAACATGAAGACAAAATCTCTTGCAATTTGATACAGGATACATAAAAACTGCTATACAACTGCTGT